GAGTAAAACTCTAACACAGAAAAGACCTGTCTATGCTGCCCCAGAACGCCTCGTTGGAGATTTCTCTTTTTCCATTGTTTACTTCTTGGGTATAATGACGTATTTCGGGTATAGTGACTTAACGTAACGGCCAAATGGACCAATCTGCGGAGCTGTTACGTTACCTCCGCGGAGCCGTTTGGACCAATCCTCACACACACACACACACACACACACACACACACACACACACACACACACACACACACACACACAAACACACACACACACACACAAACAAACAAACAAACAAACAAACAAACAAACAAACAAACAAACAAACAAACAAACAAACACACACACAAACACACACACACACACACACACACACACACACACACACACACACACACACACACACACACACACAAACAAACAAACAAACAAACAAACAAACAAACAAACAAACAAACAAACACACACACACCGTTTAGGACAGAGAGTGGATAGCATATAGCATATACAGAGATGCTGTATGAGAAACCAATGTGAGTTTGGAAAATTGCACAATATACATTTATTTTAGTAGACCTCAACAATGGAATTATGATCAGTAGAAATGGCCGTGACATGGGACCTTTAAGACTGCACGTTGTTTATAGCTGCACAAGTTCTATTATATTGTTGAGCTTCCTTTTAAAACTTTTTCCAAACATGTATTTGGTGGCAGATATAAATGTCTCAGGTTATCAATAATCAATCAATAATAAAACATTGTTTTGCATTTTTCTTCAGTCTGGATGTATTTCAGGTATGCAGGAGACATCCATTATTCAGCCATGCTGATCATGTATTGATTAAGCCTAAGCTGTTAAGGGCTTTTTGTTCAAATACATTTGAATCTGTTATTTGTGCTGCTGTTTTGCCCGTCCTGTCTGGATCAGAGAGGCTCTTACATAATGCCATTTTGATATCCCGGGATTAGGCTGAGTTCCTCTCCACACACGGATGACGACTGCTTTTATTACAACAACAAAAAAGAAACCATGTGATGTTCCAACGACGTGATGTTCAATCCCTGGTTTATTTGAGATGCCACAAACCTTTTAGTGAGCTGTAATCATATTGGTCATGAACTCTAGGGAGTGAGCAAAGAACATCATAATGCAGTTATGAGTGGTGGCATGATTGATTAGGATGGACTAGAACAGGAGAGATGTTCAGAAATAAGTGACTCATTTCAGGAATAAGTCACTGGTTTCAGGCGTGGCCAAATTATTTGATTGTTGGCCCTAAACAACCACTTCAGGAACAAAAGTGTAATAATAGTAAAATACAGTTTTCAACTAGTTAAGTGCCCACTACATTCTTATGTGTAAATAAGTCAATAAAGTGTTTTCTTCATGGCCCATTTAAAGGATTACAAATGGAGATAATAACCCATAATCTGTCAATTCAATATTAATATGTCACAGATAAAACAGATTTATAAAATTGTTTTACTTAACTTAATCTAGGATGTGCAATGAACATGTAAAGTGCAAGTTATAATAATACAGCTTTATCTATATAGCACCTTTCATACAACTCATGCAGCTCAAAGTGCTTTACAAAATGACATCACACGTTAAAAACAAACAAGAAATTCCCCTCAGATTATTTGTTAAGAACTTTAAAAGGTACATGCAGCAAAATATAACATTTGATCAGATAGACACAAGGAGGTAAAAAAAAGTTATAAGAAATATTCTGAAGCCATGCTCAAATGTATCTTTCAAAAGTCAACTCAGGTCATTTGCAGATGTGCAGTTGGCCGGCTGGCTGTAGTTTAGTCTATCACAGTTTAGATAGATGTGTGTGTTGTTGGGCACAGAGGAGCAGGTGCAGTAACGGCGTGCAGAAGGTAAACGCTGCCACGCAGAGCTCCTAAAGAGGGGGAGTGCTGCTGCGTAAACACCGGACCTGACTGTGTACTCTGCAAACCCACTAGCCCTTGCCCTCTTGAGAAAAGCAAGCAATTAGTCTGAGGACGTGAGCTCAGAAACATGGAGTGTGATACGCACGGCTGGGGTGAATCTCCACAGATAAATACTTACAGTAGCTGCAATGCATTTGGAGAAAAGAAAACACATCTGGCTGCACACACACACACACACACACACACACACACACACACACACACACACACACACACACACACACACACACACACACACACACACACACACACACACACACACACACACACACACACACACACACACACCTCATCCTGCTCCTTTCCCCTTATTTCCTTCCTACCCTCAACATCTGTCAGTCTTCTCCTATATCTTTGTTGTCCATTATGCTGCCGGTCTATTTTCTACCCTTGTTTACTTTCTTGTTGAACTCATCTTTCCATTACACTTCTGTTTCTATTCTTGTGTCTGCAACACTCTGTAGACTGTCGCCACCAGTCACCTCTATCCCCATTGCTATTCTTGATCTTTTAATAGCCACCATATCTATATTTCTGTTCCTTTATGCTCTTGTGTTTGAATCCAAGTCCTTCTAAAACATGTTTCTTATGATATTATATAAAAGCTCTGTTCATGGGCAATTATAAGTTTGCACCCTGTTTTCTAAGTAACAATTTAAAATGTATTATCTTTTGTTTTACCGTTAATGGGATTTTTTTTTCTGAATTCAAACATTTAAACTGCACCTTTAGTCCTCAGCAAATTAAATAAAAAGTAGAGAAAACATGAGGATCAAAACATTGAATGTAGTTGAGTCATCTAAAGTGATCTGAATAGAGTGTTATAACAACCAAGATTTAAAGATACATGTGTTATAAGAGATATCATGTGTTGTGGTGTTTTTACATGTTTGTGTTAAATGTGTTTTTTAAACTTATGGTACTGAATTAAAGTAAAACCACAGAACCCTTGGCCTTTGTGTACTTCCATTTGTTCCCAGAAGATGTCAGTGTGTAAAAGGTTCAGATCATAAATACTTCAGAAAGGATGAAAAAGTAGAAAGATTCAAAACTGGAGTTTCTTTGCAAACACGTCTTGAGTTTTTAGAAGAGTGAAAAGGAACATAAATGTTTAAAAACTGTAAACCGGGGAATGTAAGTATCTTAAAGTAACCACGCCAAAGAGTGTAATAACAGTCTGTCACCAGTTCCTTTCCCGCCAGTCTTTATGACTTCTTATTTAGTTCTTCCGGTAAAGTGAAGCACTCTGGATGTTCATATCTCTCTCGTTATAACTCTCAGCCTCTCTGTTGCTCTCACTCTCAATGGAACCACTTCCACTCTGATTTAAGGTTCAATTCAAACATGAAGGAATACGTTTTTATCACATTTTACAACGTGTAGATCCTGTATACTTTTCTCTGTCAGTCATGATTACGATTTTGATTCATGAAACTATTTGTCCTCGAAGCAATAACAACATATCCGGAGAAATAAATCGTTTGTCTACTATGACGAGGAGTCATTTTATTTTACATCTGCTTACTTTTATGCTTAACCCCTGATTCATTGACTCCCTCTGTTACGTCACAGGATAAGCAGAATCCTCCTTTCCTTCCTTGTATCTTAAACTTGACGACCTCTCCCTCCCCCTCCCCCCTCGTCTCCCCAGGTGAGCGCTAATGTCCTGATCTTCCTGTGCACAAACATCATCGGTATCTGTACCCACTACCCCGCTGAGGTTTCCCAGAGACAAGCCTTCCAGGAGACCAGAGGATACATCCAGGCCCGACTGCACCTGCAGAGGGAGAATCAGCAACAGGTGGGCCCGCACACAGATACACACTTGTATATTTGTATATATTTTATATATGTGTGTGTATATATCAGAATCAGAAACAGGTTTATTACCAGGTAGGTTTACACATACGAGGAATTTGACTTGGTGTCGTGGTGCATAAAAACAAGATTTAAAAACACAGTTAGAGAACTAGACAAATATTAAAAATAAACAATATTTATAGGTGCATTCAAGTGCTCCTCGGATTTTCCCATTTCCAAAGTTCGGACATAATGATTGTAACTTTGGTGTGTTCACAAGCCTTAAGTATGAATGTGGAAGATGTTTGTTTTGTTTTTTACAAACATATTTCTGTATGTTTCATGTATTTTTTTATTTTTTATAACTGTTCCGTTCTGTATAACTGTTCTTTTTTTTCTTTATGTACATAATATGGCATAAACAATTCAATAAATAACAAATAAATAAAATAAATGTTTTAATGTAGTTCACTCAAACCCATACCTGTTGCCTTGTGATTAAAATAAAAACACTTGCCATGTTGCTCATAGTCACTTATATTGTGAATGATATAATCTATATTTTGTTTCTTTCTTTTGTGTGTTTTTGTTTTTTTCCAGGAACGTCTGTTGCTTTCAGTGTTGCCAAGGCATGTTGCCATGGAGATGAAGGCTGACATCAATGCCAAGAAGGAAGACATGATGTTTCATAAAATCTACATCCAGAAACACGACAACGTCAGGTCAGCCGGGACACTCGCTGCTTTAATGTTTCACTTAAGAATTAACATTATACTCACTTTATCCATTTTTTTTTCTGTTATAGTAGGAACAGTAGCATTTGTGTAAGATGCCTCTTTTAGTAAAATGATATGAAGTACTATAATGTATCATTTCATGTCATCCTATTAACATTAAAGCAGACTTATCATGCTCATTTCCAGGTTCATACTTGGGGTTTACCTGCTTTATTGTTTACAAAACACTTTCTCATACTGTCTGTCTCAAGACAACTTTATTCCCCCTCTTTTGAACTTCATTTTAGCACCTGCTTTAAGCTTCCCTCCTGAAAAAGTCCCACTTTGCTCCGATTGACTTGTGGGAAAAACTGAGATAAATATATCAAGCAGTTTGTGTAGATAGTAGGATTGGGGGTGGTATATTTTCATGAGCCTGCATGTGACATGGACAGGAAGGGGATCTAAATCTGAATGGTTTGGTAAATCTCAATTTTACTGACCGAAGGAGCCCAAAAAACCTCAATGGGTTATTTTATTTCTATTTGCGGGCTAGTAGGCACTCCGAATGCTAAAATGTTTCAATCAACAGGATGTGTTTTTGATCATATGTCTCCCTTTAAAATACATGTTATGATTTCTACCTATACAATTAAACACAGAACAAATCCTTTCCTTTAATCTTCCTAAGACAGACTCACAGCACGTTTTTTCCACTGAAACACACACACACGCATATAGGCGTGCGCATGCAGTCATCAGAGGGTAGAGTGGTTTGGCAGAGTGGAGGCTAATTAACACTAGTGAGGGAATACTTAATCACCAGCAGCCAAGATAAAATAATCCCCAAAGATGGAGAGCTTCGGCACACATTCAATTACAGCACTGAGCAAACACTGCACATAGTCTCTCTGTCCCTCTCTCACAGACACACACACAGACACACACACGCACGCACACACACTGGCACAGATCTCCTTCAGAAGAGTTTAAGGTCGAACTTCTCTCTGAAGGTCAGCAGCTCTGATTGTAACTAACTGTATTAAAGTTCTGTTTTCTGCTGCGTAGGGATGGAAATATAATCAGGTGCCTGAAAAACTGCACAATTGCTAAACTAGAGACGCACTGATAATGATATCGGATAACAGGCCAAACCTGACTCAAACAGCTGGAGGGTCTAATCAATTAGATTATGTTTATGTAATAAATTATGTATTATAATCCCTCTCTACGTCTGGGTTACTTTCTTGTTGATTCCTGTTAATTGTAAATATTTTTTACCAAGCATCACCTGTGCAAGTAAAAACATTTATAAAAAATGGTTTGTACCAGTTGCCATAAAATATCTTAATCAGTAGGGACAGAGACATTTTGAAGCCAGTTTGCAACTTTAGCACAGTCATTTGAATCTGCTTTATTGTGTATGTTCTTCTATGTAAATGTGTCATGTTTGGATGTGATATAATGTGTTTTAATGAACCTTTTGAATGGCTGATTTTGCCCTTGCAAACTGTAGACACATTACTGCATTTTTCATGCAAAGAATGCACAAAGTATTTTCTCTTCTAGTCTATTGAAATATTGATTGTGTGTTTCTTCTCTTTCCACCTCTTTCATGTTGCCCTCAGTATTCTGTTTGCAGACATCGAGGGTTTCACCAGCCTCGCCTCCCAGTGCACGGCTCAGGAACTGGTCATGACACTCAATGAACTCTTTGCCCGTTTCGACAAGCTGGCATCGGTGAGTTTTGGGGTGTACTGGCCCTTTAAAAGACAGATATGACACTTTACCAAAAATTCCAACTATTGCTTTGTTTTGGCCCTCAGATACGTTTATTGTCACCTGTCAATCAAATTGTTTTTATATCTTTTATGTCTCCCCTTTTCTCTACTTCTCAGGAGAATCACTGTCTACGTATTAAAATTTTGGGAGATTGTTACTACTGTGTGTCGGGGCTGCCTGAGCCCCGGGCGGATCACGCTCACTGCTGTGTGGAGATGGGTGTCGACATGATTGAGGCGATCTCGTGAGTAGAAACAGTGTTTGAATAAGTGTGTTTGTTTTGAAGTTAGTTTGTTTGATGTCTTTTGCAAAGTTTTGATCCTGGAAGAGACTCTGATCAGCTGTGTGTCTGCAGGCTGGTGCGTGAGGTGACGGGAGTAAACGTCAACATGCGTGTGGGTATTCACAGCGGGCGTGTGCACTGCGGTGTGCTGGGACTCAGGAAGTGGCAGTTTGACGTGTGGTCGAATGACGTCACGCTGGCCAATCACATGGAGGCAGGAGGCAAAGCAGGGTGAGGGAGATAAACACACAGTTTTTATAATAAAAGGACATTTTCATCACATTTAATTCATGATGTTTATTTATTTCATTACTTCTATATGTGTGTATGTAAATATATATATATATTTATTTTTCCAGTGTTTTTTTTACCTATTTATTTGTTTTTATCTTGTCTACTGCTTTTGTGTTTTTTTTTTTTTATCTTTAGCTAAGTTTTTTCTTACTTTTCAATTTTTTTGAAAACCTTTTTTCTCTTATTTTGAATTATTTTATGTATATTATTTCTTATAATGTCCCTGAACTATGTTATGGTAATTCCGCACATTATGGTCTTGCATTACCAAGTTATTTATATACTAATAAAGAAATATATCCTTAAACCATTTGCACACTCAAACATAGACCCACAGCACACACGCACGTTTAACCTAAAGTTCCTTGTCTCCATGTAGGCGGATCCACATCACTAAAGCCACGCTGCAGTATCTGAACGCAGACTATGAGGTGGAGCCAGGCTTTGGAGGTGAGAGGAACGCGTATCTGAAGGAGAACAGCATCGAGACCTTCCTGGTCCTCGGCTGCAGCGAGAAACGGGTCAGTGCACAAAAACAAACACAGCTCATTGAAACTGTAACACCACAGGAATCTTCACGTGCATTTAGGCACTTATTGTCATTGACTGTGTTGAATGGGAACAGTTGGTGGAGCCTTCATGTTCTTCCCTCTGAGCAGAAGGAGGAGAAGGCGGTGATGGCGAAGATGCAGCGGACGAGAGCCAACTCTAACGAGGGTCTGCTGCCCCGCTGGGTCCCCGACAGAACCTTCTCCAGGACCAAGGACTCCAAAGTCTTCAGACAAATGGTGAGAATTAAAACCAACACACACTCCTTCATGGAGCCGGCTGCTTCTTCTCTCTGAGAGTCTTACGTTGTGTCTGTTCTCTTTCTCAGGGGATTGATGAGAGCTCCAGTAAAGACAAGTGAGTACTGATGCTTACACACAGGGCTGGGGAGGTTACAATGCTTAGAAGGTTATTCCAATACACTGAATCACCTGTTGTAATTAAATGTTTCACAATCAAGTATTACAGGGGTGTCAAACTCAAATACACAGTGGGCCAACATTTAAAAATCGGTATTAGTCGAGGGCCGGACTGGTTCAATGTTTATTGCAAAACTTATTTAAATTAACTTAGTGCACATATTAAACCTGGAACTAACAAAGCTTAAATTATTGACTATAAAAACAACATTAAACATTAAATAATGAGTTGCATTCATTTCTTGTGGCTCTATCTG